GGGGGGAGGGGAGAGGGGGGAGTGGAAGATATAGAGTGATTTTAGGACACTAATTATTATCATTAATTCCCTTAAAATGTACATAAATGGTAATTTGGTATATAAAATACAATTATAGTAAAACTTGAGTAGGGGGCAATATAGTTTCATATAGTGTATAGGAATGCAAAAATCTCAATATAAAATAGTCACCTCGGGCTTGTTTTGAGCTCAATTATACTGTAACAAAGTCTGTTGAGCTTGGTTGGACTCAGCTCGAGTTCAGCTAAAGCTCAAACTAAGGCTCGAGCTCGGTTATATTATAAGAAAGGTCAATCGAGCTTGATTCCCAGGCCTGTGTTAGGGTGATTTGCACAAATAGGATCATTGCATGCTCTTGTTTAAATTTTGACCCCAATAAGAAATGACTTTTAAAAATAGCCTTCGATCAGAACTAAAAGCGCTCCTGACAATCGCTAAAAAATTTCATATGCTGCTCACCAGAATTCACCACAAAACCCGACTGATCGCCAAGATTTTCAGTATTGTGGCTGAAAATCCTAACGATCACCGTAACTATCTATTAAGGAAAATTTTGGCGATTTCTATAAGTGCTATCCAAATTCTGCCTGAAGAACTTTTTATCAAGGTCAAAATTTAAACAGTGGTCCTAAATAGATCCACCTAGTGTAATTCGTAAAAATAGCACGGGCTAGCCAGTTTTCAGACTGGTCATTCAGAAATAGCCAGCATTTGTAAAGTCATTGAAAAATAACTACTATTTTGCTGCAACACGGAAAGTTCCAGCATAATATACTGGAGATCGGTGCACCTGTGTATGAACTTCCAGCATATTATGCTGGAACTCTAACACGCGGAAAGTTCCAGTATAATATACTTGAGATTAGAGCACCGGTGCTCCAAACTCCAGTATATTATGCTGGACCGGTATATTATACTGGAGTTCCAACATAAGTATACTAGAACTCCAGTATATTATACTGGAGTATTTTTTCGAATTTTGAACAGTGTTTTCGTTCAGATTTATCTTTACATAAAAAATGGCTAAATTTCAATTACTTTTGAAACTGTGGCTATTTTTGAATGACCACTTGTAAATCTGGCTATTTTTGAATTTTTCCTGTATAATTCAGTCGTTTCCAAAAAAAGCTTCTCTGAGCTAAGTCACTAGTCCAAATTAATTTGTTTGAGAGTTTTGTATAAAAAGAAGGAATTTTTACCTCATATAGCAAAGGTAAACACCTTATTTATTTTAAATAAATATCATTTTAAAAAATTATATTATATAGATACCTTTTAATGTTTATAGCAAAATATCTAATTTTAGTTACCTCCTACCCCCTAAGCCACTAAATACGCTATTTTTTATTTTTCTCTCTCCTTTTTCAGATTTTTCTCTCACATAATTACTGTATTTCCCATAAACATCTCACTACATGTTCTTTCTCTCTACTTTAATACATGTCATTCTCTTCCCCCATTCCCTGAAAACACGATGCTCAATCTCAAAATTCCTTTCCCCCATATCACCTACCATTAATCACAAACGGTGCTTTTGCCTTTTTCTCTTCTCGTATTTCTCTGTGTTTTCATAACGATAGTGAAGGGAAGATAACAATTGGAGTAATATATATTTGGGAAAAATACACATCTTCGTGAATCTGCTTTGTGTTTGATCACTTCGCTTCCAACTGGATTGTGATTAAGTATGCTACTGTGTCTTACTCTTATTCAGAGATTCACTTCACTTCGCTTCGCTTCCAACTGTAAACAATTTTTACTCTCGGAATAGATCATTTTCGCAGTAGCATTCTCGAAGATTCAGGGTTTTTGCTCGACGGCGGATTCACCGGAAATTAGGGTTTGTTCTTGAACAAAGACGATAGAGTTTGGGGCTGAGCAACTTGATTTTCTGTTAATATATTTCAATGTATTTTCAACATATCACGCTGTATTTTTATGTATTTCATTGAATTCATTGTCTTTTTTTTCATTGTTATTCAATGTATCTCGCTATATTCCATGTATTTCATTGTATTCACTGTCTTTTTTCATTGTATTTCAATGTATCCCGCGGTATTCTATGTATTTCATTGTATTCACTCTCTCGCTATATGCCATGAATGTATTCATATATTTTTTTAATTAATATAATTTATATATTCAGATATATTATATAATTTCTCTAAAGATTGCTATGTTTTGGGGGTATTTTTCGGTTGAGAATCTTTTTATAAATGGAAATACAAAATTTGTGTGTTATAATTGAGTTTGTTGAGTTATATTAGGAGTCTATTATGTTAATTAATTCACTTTCCGTTTAAAAATAGTGTAACCCCCTGTTTCACACTGTGAATACAGTCGAATACAATAATCTGTACAACTGTAATCCCATGTTTCATGCCATGAATACAGTCGAATACACTCGAATACAACAACTAATTAGCTGAACTTCCCTAATTCGCGCCTATTTTTGCTACTGTATTCATGAATACAGTAGCTTAAATATATCTTATAACAACAGAAAATGTATCTACAATCCGTAATATGACAAATGATATCTATAGATAGCTAATTACCACTAAAAGATAGTGTTTTATGATAATTTCTCTAAAACGAATAAAAGAACAGGAAAAATCCAAACAGATGATTTCTGCCGTAAAGCATAGTTTTTTTTAATTGAAAAATGTATCATTTTTCAAATGTTCAATTGCTTAACTACAAATTAGACATGAAAAAGATAATAAAACCAAAAAAATAAAAATAAAAAATCGTTTCAAGTGAAATAACAGTTATATGCTTCTTTGCTTTTCTTAATTTCTTGGTTTCAAGGACGTGTTTACCCGTAAAATGGTAAAGTTAAATTCATATGTAATTTTTAGACAAGTGATCTAATTTGATCCTGAAATAAAGAAATAATTGAAGAAATATATAATACTTAGCCTTAAAATGTAGATGAAACATCAGCGTTGACGATTCGGGAATAAGATTTTCGGGCACAACAATGATGAGATCAAAAGCAAAAAAGTAAAACTATGTTAAGCTTTGTATAGAATGTCGTATAAGTTAGCCCAAAAATTCGTCTACATACAATGATAACTAAACTCACTATTTATAGCTATATCTAAAAAAGGAGGTCCTAGGACCGTGCCCTCCTTTAATATCAATTATGAAGGCCATTTGATGAAGATGTAATGGTGGACAATAAATGTCAAATTCCCTATAACGGCCCGTTGGTCTTAATGCTGCAGAATATTCCTTATTAAATGTTACCAGACGCAAGGCATTTAATACCTTTCTATGAACGTTATCCCTTCCGGGGACAAGCGAAAGCCATCCTCGTCATGGGCTTCACGTGTCCTTCCTTTAGATGACCCCATGTCATATCATATTTTACCCTATACAATGATAGAATCTAAAAATTATCGTTTGAGGTTACAAAAATTATAACTTCAAACGAACATTTTTAGATTCTATTCCCTCACTTATTCATTGAGTAAATGCAGTTCTTTCCAATTAAGATGTATACATTTCCTCATTAAGGCATGCATCTTTAAACGCGTAAAGCTATAATATCCCGCAGATAAATGCAACATAAATAAGGTGACATTTGGAGGTAATGATAAGACTTAAAAGTAAAGCATAACAAAAATTAGAATTGCTATACTTTTTAGCACACCGTTAGCTAATAAATTAACTCCTTCAGATCCACCACTTTATATCCACCAAACCGTAATCGTTGCTTCAATCCATAAACATACTGCCATTTTTCTATTCAAAAAGGGAAAAACGAAAGGGTAAACAGAGAAAAAGCAATTCTTGTTTGATTTCTATGCCATTGAAACATTACCAAATTGCTATGGTTCATCATAATTGATGAAATATTACCAAATGGGCAACTGCCAAAACCAGAAAGCACAGCAAAATAGAGCAAAGAACAATATAGTGCAGCTCGCATATGAAATGCCATTACGACTCTTCCAAAAAGAAAGGAGAGATGGAAATCAGTTCCTTCTACTCAAACAAATGAATTCAATCAAGTAAAGATCAATAAAAAACCCAACAAGATCAGAATGAAAGGGTCAAATATATGAAAAGGATCAATAAAAAGCTCATCAAACAATTCAAGTAAAATCAAGAAAGAGGGCAGAAGTACAAAACCAACAAAAAGAAAAAGGTTCAACATCAAATAAGAAGAATGATCATCACCAGAACTTGTCTTAATGTGTGGTAGTCATATCTGCAGTGAAGGGATTACGCAGAGAGGACCAAACAGAAAGAGTGTTCTGCACGATAGCACTGAACTTCAGGAACCTCAAAATCCTCCTTCACGAACAGAGAATACATGCTAGACCTAGTAAGACAATAAAACTGTGAACTTAAACAAGATAGAGATAGCTGTTGACGACCAATGGTGAAGAAGATGACAGTGCACAGATACAATAGGGGCACAAAAAAATAAAGGAGACCAGGAAAATGAGAAGAATAAGGAGCAACATGAAGAAGATACAAATGAATAATATGAAGAAAGTGATGATGACTAATGCAGAATATATAAATCTGAGAATGAAGCGAATCGAATTGAAGCTGAAACGATAATAATTCTGCGCATAAAAAGGTCAACAGTGAAAATTTTGTTGATTACCTGGAGAAGGTTGATTTAGATAGAAGGCTCATCTCCATTCATAGAACTTTAATGCTATTTGGCAAAGGTCGCAAGATACAACATTTAATGAGCCTAATTATCAGAAGATATGGTTTTTGGACAGGTCCACCAAAAGTTGGAAGAAAATTTCAGGCACAGGCACAATGTTTAGAGTGCAACAAACAAACTCCTCATGATACACCAAGCATCCATAACACTGGCATGCCAACAATGTAAGATCAGAAAAAGAACATTTTTACTTACGTAGACAAGCTAAAATTTATAATTTCACCAGCCGTAAATCAAAGGATAAAATATACAATGCAATTTCTGGTGTGCTGAGCACAAAACCTATTGCATTCTATCTGACTCATGAAAAAATCATCATAAAATTGGTGGATGGGCAACCTAACAATTTCATAGCCAATTGTGACAAATATGGTGAGACACAGTTCTCTGAACAGTTCCAGCATTTTCTTCTCTTTGCTATGATAACAAACTTCTCCAAAATCATTGCATTCTTTAGTAGACACTCAGAAAATTCGAAAAGTTTATCATATTCCTCGCAACACATCCCAGTGGAGTAGACAATCTTAACACTCTTGAGATTGGGAAACAAAAAGTTTGAAATCCAACTATCCAAATCGTTATCATCTCCTTTATACAAATAACTCGACTCATAGCGGCAGTGGAGACAACTTTGCTGGGATAGAAAATAAAATATGGATAAAATAGTGGTCAACGCTTAATGAAACTGAAATTATACAAAAGAAAGACAAAAGAAAAATGTCATGGTAAAAGTGTCTCATACCGAACGAATTTCAAAACCCAAGAATAAGGTTCACATCAAATGATTATGAGAGCATATTCCTATCTAAAAAAGTAATGGAGAAGGTAAAACAAGCTAAAAATGAAAGATGTTGAGTTTGTCAACTAAAGATATATTTTACATTCTCCTCTAGAAACCTTTCAGTATGGGAAGAAAAAGGGGGCGTGTTAAAACGTAAAGAGATGAACGGATGTAAGAAAAAGAGCAAAAGATATCGGGAATTACGTAAGATTCCATGTCTATGTTGAGAGTCTCCACGTGAGACGAGACCTGCAAGAGGCTAGCAACTCCATACAAATTGAACTTTGTTATATGAAACTTTATCGTTAGACATTTGCATTTCAATTCTGGAAGCTGCACTCCATCTAGCTGCAGCATGAACAAGACCTGGAGTAGGAATCTCAATGAAACTAGTAAAGAACAGAGAAAGAGAAAACAATAAAAAGAAAATAAGTCACATCAAAGATAGTCCTATGACAGGTAAATATCTAAACACTATAAGCAACGTCAATGTTTGAAATACTACTTCACAAAATTACCTTTTGCGAGTATGACAAAGGAAATCTCTGACTTCAAAGTTTGACAGAAATTTTACTTTCTCAAAGAAAAAAAAAATTGACAGAAAACTAGCCAACAAATCACAAAATAGTGAAAAAAGAATTCAGTTTTCCTGTCCCACCCTTCTACCTTCACAAGGTAGGGGTAAAGTTTGCGCACACTCTACCCTTCCCATACCTCACTTTGTGGGATTGTTGTTGTGAACAAAAGAAAAAAAAATTCCGCAGAAATTTTCATGTTTTCAAACGCAGTCTATAATTGTTTAGTAAAAATCAAATAGAGCAAGCAAAGTAATTTGGAGTTAATAACAAACCTCTGCAAACCAAGTTCCGATTGTTAGCTCTCTCACATGTCTCAATTTTCAAAGATAATCTTGAACGAGGGTCCAAAAAACATGATGATAATCACGACAACTGTCATCCTCAACATATACAAAATGATCCTGGAGGTTACTCACACATGTAATATCAAAAGTAAGCTCAACACTGACCAAAAATGATACATTTACTAGCCTTCACTTAACATCATCAATATCTCCATAGATCTCCAAGTGTTGAAGATATGGTGCAACAATTTCCAATGTATTATCACCCTCTTCATACACCGGCCAATTATCTTTCAATTTTAGTCTCTTTAAATTTGGATTATTAATTTCCAAACGCCAAAAAGTATAGAAACACGACAATTCCAGAGTTTCCAAAGCAGGACAACCTGACAGTAATTTTACAATCTCTTCATCCTTTAACAACACTGTGTTAAACTTGACAGTCTTTAGAGATTTCCACGAAATAACAGCTCATTTATCAAATGCACAGTTAAACAAAGCTAATGTTCTCAATGACGAGCAAGTGTAGAACACTTGAGGCGATGTGCAGATGTTAACAAAAATTGAATTCAATTTTACATCTTCGACTTCATTTTAAATAAGATAACTGAGCCATTGTCTGATATTCAATTTTACAGAATACGAGATGGAATTTTCTGATTTTTGAACAAGTACGTTGAGCAAATGCGTAGTCTACGAAGGATACGAATTTTTCTAATTCTAAATCCGGCACACCTTTACAAATCAAAGAAAGATTATCAATAGAAGTCCAGAGGTATTGCCACCTTTTTGAGACAAAGAGATGTTTGAACAGCATCCTTTATCGGCAAAAGAGAGATAATCTGAACCAGTAGTGACTCCGGCAGCTTGTTGATTTGATCTAGGGTTTTGTCATCTTTGGTGACTGTCTCCATTACCCTAGGTTTATTCATGCTCTCCCAGGGTTTTTCCACAGCGGTATTTCGCTCATCTGAAATTCTGTTCGGAAAATGAGATTGGAGATGAATTAAATAAGAGATATATGAGCCGTTGATTTAGAGAGTAGATCAGTGGTTGAGTTGACATCTCTAGCGTACGGTTATGATTAAGACGATGGACGGGTTCTTAACAATTTGGGTGAATGAGTACTTGTATTTGCGAGGCTGAAGAACATTATGAAACTCTCTACTCTAGTCTAGACTCTAGTAATCGAAATATTTGGACTCATTAAACTGTTAGTTAAAAAACATATTAATCATCCATCTATTTATAATTGAGGGTCTTGAAAAGGTGACATGACACATTCTATGACTAGGAAGGTAATTTATCTTTTTTCTCAACATTATACTACTTTCTTTATTTTTCTATTTGCGCTATTATTTAACAAGAATCCAAAAGTTGCAACTTTTCCTATATTTAGGTATTACTCCCTCTATTTCATATTAGATGAGGTAGTTTGACTCGACACGGAGTTTAAAAAAAAGAAGACTTTTGAAACTTGTGATTTTAAAAACTTAAGAGGTAAAAAGTTTGTAAGGCCATGACATTTGTGTGGTTATAAAAGTTTCTCATTAAGGGTAAATGAGTAAAATAAAAGAGTTTAAATTTAAATTAATTCCAAATTTAGAAATATGTTATGAAACGGAGGGAGTACAACTTTTCATTTCAATGGAAGTTCAATGTAACATACGGTTTCGTTGGTATCACTATTTAACCCTCCACATAACTATTTTAGTCTGCTTTAGTTCAAAATTTGCAGAGAAGCTATTTGTCCTTCTCACTGCTAGAGAGTCAATGAAGTTCTATCTCTTCATTCTCATTTTAGTTATTTCCTTATTTTTCATTTAAGTGTTGTGCTACAAAAATACAGAAGTCATCTTACATTCGAATAATTACAGCATTTTGTCTTGTGTAACCTTTTCTAAGAGAAATGCTTACAGATATCTGTTACATTTCTTAAGTTTTTTTTTCTTTTAATTTCCTTTTTTTAATGTCCCCTTCATTCTTCTCCTTCAAGCTTTATTCTTATTTTTCACTCTTTTCAGAAGTTACTATTATTTCTTTTAGTTACAACTTTTCATTTTTATTGACCCTTTGACAAAAATGCTTACACCAATCTGAAAACATAGTTCCTTTACATTGTTTTGCTGCTTTCTTCTCTCATTCATTTTTCAATTTAATTACCACTCTCCGTGTTATAATTATTTAATCATTCCTCCTAGAAAATTAGAATTGGGTAGGTGCTGCATTCGGTGAATAAAAAGATGGTAGACTTAACATAGAACAATATACATCTTCATCTTAGCACAACTGTCCACAGTTCTGCGTTGGTAAGGCAAAAAATTACATGTTCTTTATTTTTCGATTTTTCCTATTAATTTTTTTTCTTCCAAAGATTAGTTTTTTTTTTTGCACAGAAAATTCATCTATGATACTTCATTTAAAGTGCGGACAATTTGAAAAATCATTCTTTAAATTCATTAGGTGTCACGATCCAAATTTTCTACCGTCGGGGTCGTGATGGCGTCTAACCTTTTTAGTATGTTAGGCAAGCCAACAAAAAAAGATTTAATACGCTAACCACTATCTGAATCAGTAAATAACAATAAATAAACCAAAACAGAGTAAGGAGTGCGAAATCTCATAATAATTCAAATACTAATACATGTCTACCCAAAATTTGGTGTCACAATTCAGGAACTTCTAAGAGTCACTACAAACACTGACCGAAAGAAAATACAACTGTCTTTGAACCTAAGTAAAAACAGTGAAATGGAATAACTAGAAGGGGACTCTAGGGTCTGCGAACGCCGGCAGATCTACCTTGGGTGTCCTGATAGACTGAAGGTAGCAACCCAACTCAATCAACAAGGTCTAGTACCGAGATCTGCACAAAAAGTGCAGAGTGCAATATCAGTACAACCGACCCCATGTACTGGTAAGTGTCGAGCCTAACCCCAGCGAAGTAGTGGCGAGGTGGACACGACAATAACATGAACCTGTGCAGTTAAATATTATACGAGAAGATAACAACAAATGAAAATTTAAGCAGATATTAACGGGAAGGGGGAGAAACGTGCTGAGGGGAATATCAAATCCTGAAATAGTACAATAAAGAAACACAATACATAACATGATTTGCACCAACGAAAGTAATAACATAGCAAACAAATGCACGACATCACCCTTCGTGCTTTTACTCTCGTCCTTACCATAAGAAACAATAGAAACGACACGGCATCACCCTTCGTGCATTAACTCTCTCATAACTTGGCACGACATCACCCTTCGTGCATTATCACTCTCAGAATACGGCATGGCATCACCCTTTGTGCATTATCACTCACTCACAATGAATTGCACGGCATCACCCGTCATACTTTACACTTTTTCTCACCCAAACAACAAAATAATAACAACCCGGCAAGAGAATCGTCAATAACCAACCTCATTTCAATATTTAACTTCACAATATAAATCTCAACTTGAGTCAATACTCAACCAACATCTAGTTCTGGGAAAATATGATAAGATTTGTTTAACATGAAGAATAACAAGTTTAAGCATGAACAGTACGAATAAAGAATACAACAGCCACAAGTATAAGACTCACTCGCATGCTATGACCCGAAAATAACCTATAGGTACTCGTCACCTCACCTACATCATACTCAACAACCAAACACATAAAAAATAGACAACAACACCTAATCCCTCAAGCTAAGGTTAGCCACAACACTTACCTCGATTCCACGACCAAACTCAAGCCTCAATTACCGCTTTTTCTCTAGTTTCCACCTTCGAACCACTCGTATCTAGTCGTAATCAACTTAATAACTTCAATTATTGCTAAAGAAATCAATTTCAATACACAATTATAGTTTTCCTAATATTTTTCCCAAAAAGTCAAAAATGACTCCGGGCCCGCTTGGTCGAAACTCGAAGTTCGGACCAAAACCCGATTACCCATTCACCCCTGAGCCCGGATATAAAATTGGCTTTGGAATCCGACCTCAATTTGTGTCACGACCCAAGTTCTCCCTTCGTGAACTGTCGTGATGATACCTAGTCTCTACGACTAGGTAAGTCTAACAAATTGCGGAAAGAAAAAAAGACAAAATACGAAACTAACAAGTTGCGGATAAAACATAATAAAAGAGTTTAAAATGCCGCTAGATATATACAATACACACTCTCAAAACTGAATCAAACTCTCAAAATCAGGAATCTCATGAAATCACAAGCTATAGAAAATTACATAGTGTTCTAACTCCAGAATGTCTAATCAAAAGTAAATACAGGAAGACAAAAGCTAACGGGGAGAATAGAGAGAGAATTCTAGGTCTACTGACGCGACAAATATACCTTGAAATCTATGAAATCGCCCGCCTCACTAGTAGAACAACTGAGCAAAAGAACCGGGATCTGCATACGAAAAATATGTGCAGGAAAGGGCATGAGTACACCACAGCGGTACCCATTAAATGCCAAGCCTAACCTTGGTCGAGTAGTGACGAGCATAAGTAGTGTGAAATGTGACAGCATAATTAAGATGCTAACAGTCGATAAAGGATAAAGTCACAGAAAGAAACAACTCAGAACATAGAGATAGCAACAGGGGATCTCCCAGGATATTGTCCCGTAGTCCCAAACGTAAATGTGCAAAGGATCTCTCGGGATATCGTCCCGTAGTCCGAATCATAAATATGCACGGAAATCCCCCGAAATATCAATCCGTAGTCCCAAAGTAAATATCCAGTATAGGGGAAACTCCTGGGATGTCGTCCCGTAGTCCCAAATATGAATGTGCAGGGGGATCTCCCGGAATACCGATCCGTAGTCCCAAAGTAAACATGCAGGGGGATCTCCCGGAATACCTATCTGTAGTCCCAAAGTAAACACACAACAGTCATAAGAAGGAAATCTACTGTTTTATTCGAGAATAAAAAGGAATTTCTCCTCTAAACATGCTGCACAGAATCCACGTAAGCAATTAAAACAGGTAAGACAACTAGGTCACATAAACATGCTTTTTCTAAGCTAAACAGGAGGCTTCAAGTACAAGTAATTCTCAATTAAAAGAAAACATAGATATTTACTTAATAAAAATGGGGGTTTTCAACAATTAGCATGTGTACGCACTCGTCACCTCACGTACACGGCACTCATATAACAACAGTACCAAAATCCTAAGGGGAGTTCCCCCATACAAGGTTAGGCAAGCTACTTACCTCGAACCAGATCAAAATCAATCCGAAATCACGCTCTTGCCACGAGTATCCAACTCTGAGTAGCCCAAATCTAATCAAATCAATATCATAATGTGAATATAACTACAAACAACGAATTCAGCTAAAGGAATCGAAACTAAGGTACGAAAATAGAAAAATGCCCAAAAATCCTCCCTAGGCCCACGTCTCAGAATTGGGTAAAAATTACCGATTATGAATACACATTCATTCATGAGCACACTCGAACAAAAATGACCAAAATTCGATGCCAAAATCTCACTCAAAACTCGGATTTTTAATTGGGGGACTTTTCTCCCAGTTTTCAAACTTTTGCCCTCAATTTCCTTAATTAGAAGAGGAAAACAACAATAGATTATAGTTTTATGATCAAAATCGAGTTAGAATTCATTACCCAATGATTCTCCTTCAAAACCCCTTGAAAAATCGTCTCCCACCGAGCTCCAATTCGATTTTTGTGTTATAAAATTTCGAACCCTCGAATTTTCTATATCTGCCCAGCGATTACCGCATCTGCAGTTCATAGGGCTGCACCTGCGTCTTGGGCTCCGCATCTGTGGAATTTTATTAACTCCACGCTCACCGCACTTGCCTTCATTCTCCACTTCTGCAGTCCGCTTCTGCGGTCCTTGAGCCGCATCTACGGTCACTGGCCCTTAGCTCCAGACCGCACCTGCAACCTCTTGCCTTGCTTCTGTGGGCCGCACCTGCGGGCTCCCCACCGCAGGTGCAAAAATACCAGAAGCAGCCAACTTCAGGATTTGCCTAAGTCCAATATCACTTCCGTTAAGCATCCGAAACTCACCCGAACTTCCCGGCAACTCACAATAGCAAAAACCAACACGAGAAAGTAGTTAATAGGGGATCGGGGCGTTAATTCTTAAAATGACCGGTCGGGTCGTTATATCCTCCCCCTCTTAAAACATTCGTTCGTCCTCGAACGAGCATAGAGACATACCTGAAGTGGTAAAAAGATGAGGGT